CATATCCGGCTACTTAAGTTTAAAACACGGCTAATAAAGCATACATATAAACCTTATGCATGCAGTAAATGCATGCTTTGGTATGATCGTTTGGACAAACATTTAATTAACGAACACAAGTTTGTATCAGAAAGGTAAAGTTTATTACAATTACTTTACGTTTTAAAGTTGGTAATTTGCGTTATTATAAGTTTTATTAATTTTATTTTTACCATTTCAGTGAGTCGTTTAAAGAAGCAATTTTAGCGATGAAAGCCAAATCTTTAGATTTGTGTTTTTAATGGAATATACCGCCGAGTTTTTCGGTTAGATTTTTAAAATAGTTAAAGTAATGTTTATAATAAGTCCTTGTTATTTTAATTGAAATGTTAGTGCTTAGGATAATATTGAATGTACATTATAATTTTTAAATTTTTTAGGTGAAACAAAAAAGTCAAGTGCTTCTGTGATTATTCCTTCGGGAACAAGGAGTTTTACGCCAGTTGAAAAAAAAAAGCACCCCAAATGGGGGCGACTAGTTTTCATAGTTAGTTTAGTATTACTTTAGTTTATTATAAGCAGAGTTTTAAACTATTAGAACTATAAGCGTAATTTGAGCAATTTTAAAACTTTTAGTTCTACATTATGCTCTACGTTACGATTTTTAAAATTTTTAGACGAAACAAAAAAAACAAAGTCAAGTGCTCCTGTGAGTTTTCCGTCGGGAACAAGAAGTGTTTCTTTAAAAAACTAGTCATACTGAGATGAATAAGGCTGGGGGAGTGGGTTTGTTACAGCTAAAACAAAAACAAAAGGAAGACTAAAAGCAGCTTTAGCAACAGTTTATGGTATGAACAACATTATCTTTAAATGCAGTCCCCATTATTTTAATTACTGGTAATGTATATTATGCAACTGCCTGATTAATAATGTTTTCTTCACTTCAGACTACTCTAGCTCAGAAGAAAATATTGGCAAAGTGCCTCTATTGCCTCATACAAGTCCAATAAAGTCTAATACATTTGGATTTTCTAAACAAGGTTGTTAATATATTTTGTCTTTTTACTTTAATACTTTAAAAACACATGTATATATACATATATATATTAGAGATGTTATACATATATACATATGCTATTAGAGATGGAGTACGAACTCCAGAAGCAACTAAGGTACCCATTCTCCTTAACAATGACTGCGAAGGAAACGAATGCAGAAATAATGACATTGGAGGAGATAAGGAAGGCCCGACGTGCATTGATACCAAGAGCGAGGATGTACCTAAGGACTGCATTAGCAAAGACATCGAAAGACCGCAAAATGTTGGAAGCAACATCATTGAAATTAGTGACGATGACACATGGGAAGAAAAAACACTCGAGGAGGTCGCATGTTGCGATAATGGCCCCGTCCGAACAAATCGATGCAAAGAATTGAATCTAGTTACATCTGTAAGTGTAATAAAACTTAATAACGACGATATAAAAAATATGTTTTTATTATCTTTATTAGAATTAATAAATAAAAAATAAATATTTAGGATTTATTTTGTGTTAATTCAAACTTAAATCGAGGCTTTAATATATATCACGTAATGTCCACAGGGCCATACACAGATGTCATTTACTACAACTACTCAAAAGGCTTATGTGAAGGACTTCCAATATGCACAAAAACGCACACCGTGTGCAAACATTTTGATGGAACGGAAACGGAGTTCAATGGCCAGTTGCATACCCACTACATACTGGCCATTTACACTGACCAGGGAGCACGTTCATCCGAAGCAGAATCTCTAAACATCAGAAGGAACTATTTAAAATCAAAACGATATACTTGCCACGGATGCAACAATATTACCAAACAACGCTTTGGCCACCACTGCTTCGCGTGCAAGAGCAGAATTAAAATTATCAGTGTTAATTCGGCTGGGCATTTTAAGAACCTCGTAACATATTGTACAGAGCGTCCTTAGCTATGTATTGGCACATATAATAGACGTAAGCAATTTACCAGATGACACACCAACAAAAACAGCAAGAGAAAAGAATTATCAAAAATTAAAGCGCACGTTTAGAGACTTTTTATTTGACAACCGAATCATGAACAGCCGACATTATGACAAGACACTGGAAACGAACGAGGAACTACGACAATTAGAACTGGGAATGCCACTAAAGGACTTAGATACAACGAAGAAGACAGTTTTCAGACAGATATACCTAAAAATAAGATTTGATGATGTTTTATCCCCAAGAGTAACACCGAGTGACAATGTAGCAAAACTAGGAGCTTTGACATTTCTCCTTAGTACCAATGCCACTCAAAATCAAATCTCGGTAGCTATGCTTAAATAGCCTGAATCACAAAAAGAGGGGTTTAATACTTTGCGGTCTAAGTGATTCAGGCAAATCCTTTTTAGCAAATTTATTATACTCTACCTATCTACCTAATCTAGGGGTCAATATCATTAACAACTGACGTTAAATACAAAGACTCTATGCCAATAGACCCTCACCCAACGCTCATCACTATGAACTCAACGTCCAAACAAGATATTATGAAATGGCACCCATCAGAATATCTGGCGTTCGAGAACAGGTGCACAATCCTATATTTAGGTATACCAATTGCTAACTTATTTACACAATCAGAACTGACAGCACTAGCACAATGTGGGCCAGAATTACTTTACATGTTATCACTATTTAAAACACAGCACACACACACAACAGACAATGTATTGGATAAATTCAAAGACTATATATATATTTAATCATGTATTTCATTAAATAATAATAATTTTTACAAAACTTTTTGTTACTTTTCTGCGGGCTCCTCGTTTTCAATAAGATCGACTTTACCAACAAACATAGTATTAAAGGCAGGATAGAATATCTTCTGATAACTAGTTAAGAATGTTATTTTAGCATTATTTTTAATACAAGGGTTAGCCATAGTAACAGTTCTATAGGTAGCATCTTTACTAAATCGAGACTGTTTAATAGTGGGGCGTTTATACAATTTGTTAACAGGGTCAAGACGAGTACGATCATAAGTCCAATCTCTCTCGAATATTTGAATACGATGTCTAAGACGTAAACGACCTCTAACAGTAGTAGGCATAACATCCTTACCAATATAAGCAGGATCAATACAAAAACATAAACGTTTACAATTTTTATTACCACTAAAAAGCATAACAGTAAGCAAATTATTCCAATACGTATTATTAACAAGTTCAGTAGCCTTATCACCTGCACATATATCGAAATTAGAACGTTTCTTAAACAATACAGAGGAATGATCAAACTCATCATAAGGTTGCAAATAAACGTCAAAACATTGCTCAATATTATAAGGATCTCGAGAATCAGAACAATATGGTGTTATAGGATTATAAATAGTTAATGTATTACCAGTATTAAACTGTTCGTAAAGAGATATACCCTGCCGTTGTAAATACCATCTATCTAATTGAACAGGATAACGTATATTCTTACGCTTATCATCGCCTTCAGCAACAATAGACCTAGCAATAAGGTTTTTAAGACCATAATTAGGCATATGAATATGACCAAGACGATAATCACAAGGATAAGTATTAATAATATTCCACGTTTCATCAAAAAATCCATTAGCCTTCTGACGCTCTATAGAAGCAGTAGATTCAATAAACTGCCCACCTTTATCTAATGATGTATCGGTAAACTTAAATGTCCTAGAAGTAAACGGATCATTAACCAATAACTTAATAGGCTTACGCAAACCAATATCATTTTTCCACACAATACTATGTATAACCTTTTCGGCAACATTGTTCTTTTCAAAAAACCTCGGATCTTTGGTGCTAACAACATTAGCAAAACGAGTAGTAACAGGTTTACCAGCTTTATCATTGAAAAACAACGAGTTTTCGAGCAATTTCACAGTAGGTAAAGGCGCAGGTTTCTTATCGGCAGAACTAAGTCTCAATTCTAAAAGTTTTCTATAATCATCTGAATCAGCTAAAGGATACATAACATCGGAAATTAATTGATCACCCTCAATATCAAAAAATCTCAAACCAATATTTGACATCTCCAAAGGAACGGAAGAATTCTGGGTAGTTTTAAGTTGGTTTTCAACACGCACATCCATAACATCACATTCAAGACTTATCAACATAATATATTCCACCGGTAGCCATCCAATATTGATCGGGATAAGTCCACAAATTAGGATAATCAACAGGAAAATAATATATTTTCTGAACAGTATCATCCGCACCATAAGCTGTTGCAATGTCAAATGAATAATTACCAAACAACTTCTCTAATATAGCCTCGCTCTCCTTTATGATGCTCCAAGGTGTAGCATACTTAGGTAACTCATCGTTAAACTTTGGAAATTGATAAGGTTCAAAACTATACTTATGCAACTGCTTAGCCATTTTAGTCTCTTTTATATAAGGAATCTCTTTAGGATCATAAATATCGACCTAACCTGGTTTAAGTCTCATATAATCAGGTAAATCATCTTGAGGCACAGGCTGATAATCGGGATCATAATTCCAACTGTCAATGCTTTCAGACACAGTACTTATATCTGTGACATTACCAACTTTATTAGACGTAGAATTAACAGAACTAGAGTTAGACGATGTAGATCGAGACCAATCAGAATCAGAATATATATATACATATATATATATATATATATATATATATATATATATATATATATATATATATATATATATATATATATATATATATATATATATATTATATATATATATATATATATATATATATATATATTTATATATATATATATATATATATATATATATATATATATATATATGTATATATGTATATATATACACACACACACACACACACACACACACACACACACACACACACACATATATATATATATATATATATATATATATTATTTTAAAACATCAAGAAATACAGTTTCTCTCAATAGTAATATTTTTATTTTGTAAGAAATTTTCGCTGGGTTTTGGATACCAGCATCATCAGCTTATAAAATATTACAATAATTTATTAATCGTTATAGTTTATATAAAATTGTTACTATTGACGTCAGCGGTTATATGGCTTCTTAAGATTTTTAAATTTTAAAAATGGCGTCCGAAACACTGTTTTTACATATTGGCCTTCGTCAAGATTAATTCCGCCGTTTCGTGCAGAGCACATGTTAGAACATGTTACAAGAACATTAAAAGTAGAAAATAAAAAGTTTCAAAGAAAAATTAGAGAGGCACTAGAAGTACAAAACAACATGTGCTCTGCACGAAACGGCGGAATTAATCTTGATGAAGGCCAATATGTAAAAACTATGTTTTAAACGCCATTTTTAAAATTTAAAAATCAAAAGAAGCCATGCAACCGCTGACGTCAATAGAAACAATTTTATATAAACTATAACGATTAAAAAATTATTGTAATATTTTACAAGCTGATAATGCTGATATCCATAACCCAGCGAAAATTTCTTACAAAATAAAATTATTAGTATTGAGAGAAACTGTATTTCTTGATGTTTTAAAATAATATATAATACACTCTCATACAAGATGTCATCTTTCAAATATCTAATTACAGCTAAATATGGACCTGAAATCTACAAAAGCACTGAACAATTACAATTATTAAAAAAATCTGTTGTTTAATCGAAAAACCATTACATTTTTTTACAAAAATGCGAGAAACAAATTTATTCCAAAGTTGTTACGAATAAACTCTCCAATAAAAAATAAAAGAGCAATAGGTATAATTTATCGTTTCAGATTTGAACTCTTAATTTGAATAAAAAACGATTCAAAGAAACGATTCTTTAATCTTATGAATGATGTTAAAAGACTCCAAAACTTTCTTAAAGGTAAACTTAATGAAGAAGAATATATTAAATTAGAACAAATTACTAAAAAATTAAGTGAAAACATGTTTATTAAATCAAAAGAACGATTAATAAATAGTTCATCATACTTCAAAGTGAACATGCAAATGAGAAAAACAACAAAATATAAAAAGGACGCAGTTTTAAACCTTTGCGATACCGATATTTCCATAAGTCACAATGATTTTCTAGAAATACAAAACAACATGTGCTCTGCACGAAATGGGGGAATTAATCTTGATGAAGGCCAATATGTAAAAACTATGTTTTGGACATTTTTAAAATTTAAAAATCAAAAGAAGCCATGCAACCGCTGACGTCAATAGTAACAATTTTATATAAACTATAACGATTAAAAAATTAAAGCATATATATATATATATATATATATATATATATATATATATACATAATATATACATATATATATATATATATATATATATATATATATATATATATATATATATATATATATATATATATATATGTATATATATATATATATATATATATATATATATATATATATATATATATATGTATATATATATATATATATATACATATATATACATATATATATATATATATATATATATATATATATATATATATATATATATATATATATATATATATATATAGTATATATATATATATATGTATATACATATATATACATATATATACATATATATATATATATATATATATATATATATATATTTATATATAAATATATATATATATATATATATATATATACATATATATATATATATATATATATATATATATATATATATATATATATATATAAAATATATATATATATATATATATATATATATATATATATATATATATATATATATATATATATATATATATATATATATATATATATATATATATATATATATATATCAGGCTTTCCCAGGAAAGGCGTGCGGTCGCACGCCTTGTTTGTCCACGCATAGAATAAATTTTTCAGAAAACGTGACCGCGGCAATATTTCTTGGAAAAGCGGAGCTTATCCACAGAGAATAAACAATAATATTAAAAAAATGAAACGAAGTCTAAACAAAGTATAAAACTGAAATTGGATGTAAGAAAAATATTTTGATAATAATAAAAAAAATTAAAAAAAAAAAAAATCCTGTAACAAAAAAAAAAATTTTTTTTTTAAATTTTTATACTGTTTTTGTTTTCTTTTTTTAGGGTTGCTATTTTCAGCTTCGAAATTTAATACAAGTCAAGGAAAAGACGACAATAAATCATAAAGTTTTCACGAAAATAAAAAGACTTGATTCGTAATTTATTTACTAACTTTATTAGACAATGTAATAAAAAAATGATTCATTATTTACGCTAGACAAATTTGATTAAATTTTTTCATTTAATTTAGTTTTCACGAAGGTTTATGCAAAGGCGATGACGTTATTCCCCAATACTTAGACAAGAAATAAAATTGCCGTTTCAATTATTAAATATATTATTTGAGATTTTAAAGATAACAAAATTTTAATGTGAAAAAAGTTCTCTCTCGACTTATTCTAAACTGATTATACTGAGTCAATGCTCGCCTTTTATTACGTTGAAATTATTCTTTTGCATTATTTTGTAATTACGAAAGAAGTTAAAAAAAATAATTGCATTGCTTCTGTTGTCATTGTTCCGAAAACAGTTCCTTCGGGACATTATTATTTATTAACACTCGTTCACAATGTCAATTAATGATTGCAAAATAAGCAACCCAATCGTTTGACAATAAAATTTTCTTTTATTTGAAAATTGAAAAAAAAACATATTTTACAAATAAATAGCAATCTTTTTCGCGCTTTCTTGCGTATCAATACATTTAAATATGTATTTACGAAACATTTAAAAATTAATTAAAGTTCTATCGTGAATTTTAAAGTATTACTGACTGATAAAAGTCATAAACAAATTTTACATTAAAAGGTCCTTTTATTTTCATTAAACAATAATCTTTTTCTTTTGGATTTGATTTTTCTTATTGATTTGATTTTTTTTATTGATTTGATTTTTCATTGCTAAAATAACGCCCTAAAAAACAAAAAAACAAAAATAAATAAAATATAGGTAAATTTTTTTTTAATAATATACATTAATTTTTATATTTGAAAGCACAAACAGATTTCTTTTATTTACTTTAAGATTGCTTGCACTTTTGCGGTATTTTCGTTTAGCTTTGTTTTGACGCGAATTCTTGAAACGCATAATAATAAAACGTCGTCAGTTAGTCAGAAAAATTTATTCTATGTGTGGACAAACTAGGCGTGCAACAGCACGCCTTTCCTGGGAAAGCCTGATATATATATATATATATATATATATATATATATATATATATATATATATATATATATACATATGCATATATATATAAATAACATACATTATGTACAGGAAAAGAAAAAGCACGAGATGTTAAACACAACCCCAGCTCGAAAATTTTACAGAGTTGTAGAAATTTAACTAAATTGGAATACAAAAAGTTTAGCGTTTTAAATGCTGACTTTTTATACACATATAAAACTGCTGATTTAGTTTTGGATGATTTTGAACGCTGGTTGTGTAAGATCAAAAGTTTAAACAGGGTAAACGCTCAAGCCCATTGTTCCCATGTGAATAAAATATGGAAAGTTGTAGATCCGTTAAAAAGGTGCCTATCTGTGAATGCTTTGACAGATGCCAATCTTTTGTCAGATTTTCATGCTGGGTCTTTAGTTAAAAATATCAAGATGCAGCAAAAGGTTGCGCCTACTCAACAAAGTGCCCATATACAACCAAGAACTATTCTTTTGAAAATGGGATTACTAAATAAATTTTTAGATTTTTTGAAAGGAAGACAAATTTATATTGGTCTCAATGTTAATCAATTGTCTAACGTCTTTCTTAGAATTAAAGAAATGAGTAGTTCTTTGAAACCCTTCCTATCGCAAAGAGAATTTGATTTAAAAAACTTTAAAAAACTCCACCTTATAACACGTGAAGTCTTTTTAACATACGAAAACAGTAGACACATTGTGCAGCTTAAAAAGATACTTAACTCAACTGTCAATAAACCAAACTTCCAAGAAGCCATTGACATTCGAGATTACCTAATGGTTTTGATTTGTTTTTGAAACCCCACCAGATCGTCCAACTTGATTAATATGACAATACAGGATTTTGAAGATTCCTACCAAGATCCTGAGTACCCTGGGGCTGCCATATTTTGATCAGTGCGCTATAAAACTAGCGTGATCTATGGAACCAAGATTATTGTAATGGATAAGGAGCTCCAACAATTTTTAACGACATATGTTGACTTTTTTTGCCTGTTTTGTTCCGTAAAAAACCAAATAAAACCTCGCCATTGTTTGCAACCAAAAGCAAGTTGTCAATGACACAGTCTGCGGTTGCAAACAAAATGACGACTAGATTTAAAAAAGGCTCAGGTCTTTGACAATGAAAAGAAATTCAGTCGTGTTTGTCCGACACGAATTCGTATATCAATTGCTAGCGAGTTAGCTTGCCAAAGAGAAGAAGGCATGGAAGACGTTGCCATCGTAAGTTAGTAACGTCTGTTTTTTCAGCATTATTTAACTTCATTTAAGTTGTTGCAGTGTTATAATTTTATTTTTTCACAGATTTACATGAAAAATAAGCCACAAACGACTAAACGCTTTTATGTGACAAATTTTAATGAAAGAAAGTCAGCCCGTATCAGTATACAAGTTGGGCAGCATTATGGGTTGGCAAAGAAATTTCAGCTAAGTGAAATGTCTTCTAAATAGCTTCAGAAACGGTTAGCAAAAACTGCTGAACAAATAAAGGGCATTTCTGGGGAGGAGTATGTTGATACTGAAATAAATCAGTATCTAAGTAAACATATTAAAGACAAAGCATGAGTCTTCAGACAACGGTGATTAAAATTTTGTAAATTAAATAAGTTTTGCTAATAACATCATCTTTTTAAAATTTTTTCTATGTTTTCAGATCAACCTGAAAGTAAGAAACGAATTGCTTTTCAGGATAACTCTGACGGTAAATGTTTTTTTATTGTGAAAACATTTTCAAAAATATATTTATAACTTTTTTGTCTTAGTTTTATACCTCAAATCGCTCTTTTAGTAGATAATGATGGCGTTAATTTCGAGACAGGTGGTTGAACTTGATAAAAAGAGTAAGTTTATTATAATTATAAAATAAGGTTTCATTTAGAACTGCTAAATAAAACTTCTTAGGTAAATGTATTAAAGAAATTTGCCAGGGGTAATGGCATATCAATGGTAGTTGTTACAAATGTTTATAATATTTTTATTTCTTAAAACTTAGTTCCACTAACAGTTAATCATCCGATTAAAACTTCATCTAAAAATGAAGTTTGTACAGGTAATCCTGTCCATAGTACTTATGTTTGGTTAATTAATAATAAATTTTTTTTTTAGTAAATTAAATACATACACTTTTCGATGCTGTAACAAGTTTTTCCTGACAAATTCACATCATTTTTTTTACTAGATGATCTTAGTGAATCAACTATTATAGTTAAGTCTATTTTGTTGAGCCTTATAGATTCGGTTATTTGCAGAAATTTATTGTAACTAAACTAATAAACTACTGCTAATTACCTTAATACAGTAACTTTTGTTATAGGTCGTTAAAAAGTTCTTTGTTTTAATTGAAGGCTCTACAAAGTATAAAAACCTTTCAAAATAAAATACAGACACTCTCACTAAATGTTCTTCAAAATAAAATACAGACACTCTCACTAAAGAAGACTTTTTAAAATGGAATATATCTGACCTACAGAACTTTTTATTTAAAAGAATTAATTAATCAAACTGGAAAAGAGCAACTTTAGCAAAGAATGCTTACTATGTTTAAGGATGAAAAAAATGAATTTAAAAATGACAAGTTGAATAAAAGAAAAACTTTATCAAAATAAATTGTAGACCCAAAATCATTAAATAAATGGTTGGGTTTTTGATCCTTTGCTATTCCCAGATGTAACATATGCAGAAGTTCAGTTATATTTAAACATAAAAAATGCTCGTAAAGCTTTTACAGGTCGCAAAAATTTACTTAAATCAGACCATCTTTTTAATATTCGGTATCACATTATCAACTCTGACTTTAAATATTGTTACATTGCAGTGTTTAGGTATTGATTAATAAAAAGCATCATACAATTATATCATAATAAAATCTGCAGATTGCGATTGTGCAGCTGGGTATGTTAATTAAAAATTTATTTGGAAGTATTATGTTTTTGCTAAAATAAACTTTTTGATAACTTTTTGGTTTTATGTTAGTCTGAATAACTAACTTTATTTTATAAATAAATATTATTTCAAAATCTTTGTTATGGAGCCTAGTTTAAAGAAAGACTCAATTCTGCAAGTACTTTGAAATTTTGAAACTTTTTATATTGATAGAAACATTTTATTTTTTATTTATTAAATTTGCTTTTTCATTTATTTTTAAAAAACAAGTATACTATTTTAGTTTTAGAATCTCTAACTGCTGTAAAAATGTGGGTGCACTTTTAAGGTATGTTGAACATAGTGTAAAGATTGATGTCAATAAAACATATACGACCTCTCAAATGGCTCAAACCATCAAAAAAAATTCAAAAACTATCTGGACCATCAATGCTAAGTTAAATTGACACCTCTATTACAAGATACCTCAGTATTAATAAGAAAAAAACTTTTAAATAGTTTAAAATTAGATCCACGAGCCACATATCAATATGAAGTTTCCATGAAATAAAGATTCTTTAGGGCGAGTAAAAAATTATAATTGTCGATATGTCATGCTTACACAAACAAAAAATGTTGTTCCCATACCAGTTCTTTCCAATGTTGCTCAATAAATCAAAGTTAATACTCCATTGTCTCCCTATCTCCCTAAGACATCGATAAAGTTGTAACTTATTTAGATTCTAAGATTACATATAAAGTTTTATTGATGCAGTTAGCTACAAATTTTGACGAAATTTCCAAACTTGACAAGAAAGCAGTCATGTAATAATGATTGACATAAACACCACTGTCAATGTCAAAAGTTTATAGTGTTGTTTGTAAAGTAAATAATTACCTGAAGATTTTATGTCCAGAAAAAATAACATCAATTATAGTGGCGTATTATATAAATCAAACGTTTTTAAAACGAAAGCTACTTTCTTAAGATTACGTCATGAAAAAGATGTACTCGAAATATAGTTTAAAGAAAATTAAAAAAAAAATCATAGATTTATGAAAGTGAGTGAGTGTGGTTTATTTGTAAATAAAGATTTACCATTAGTGCATCACCTGATTTCCTTGTTCATTGTGATTATTGAGGCAATGGATGTGTAAAGGTTTAATGTCCATGGACTCGTAGAGGTTTAACAATTCCAGAATTTGAGGCTATCAAAGGCACATGTTTAATATTTGAAAAAATACAATTGTAATTAATCCTCAACATTGTTATTAGTCAAGTGCAGTGTCAAATGGCTACAACAGGTTTTCATATTTTGATTTTGGAACTTCAAAAGACTTACATTATCGGACAAAACAAGTGCAAACTTTATATAAAGAAACTAAATTAAAGCTAATTTAGTTTCTTTATATAAAAATGCTGCATTTTTCCAATTTAGAGAGATAACTATGTAACTGTTAAGAGACAACGTTCTTCATGTTTTATTCAGCACAAAGTTCATTATTTGTACACGAAATATAATAAATATTAAAATTTTAAATAAAAAAGTATTTAAAAAAAGTTGATTTCCTTCAGGACAAAACAAGTGCAACTCCACAAAATGTTGACCAAGCTGTATTTCGCTATCAGTATATTGTAGCGAATCCTTTTTTGTCGATCACAGCCTTGCATCTTCGAGGTATAGATTCGATAATGTGATCAATGAAATTTTGTGGAATCGCTCCCAATGATGTTGAATTTCGATTCATCACTGAACAGGACAGTTCGCCATTTATGCACATTCCAGTCAATATAAGATGTATCAAACAAGAGTCTTTTCTTCTGGTTCTTTAGTGAAATCAGCGGTTTCATTGCAGGGCGTCGAGAAAACAATCCGACATCAACAGCACGTCGTCTGATTGTTTGGTCCGACATAGGCAGCTCTAATTGCTTTTGTATCTTGACTGATGATATCCAGGGATCCTTTTTGACGGATCTGACGATCATAGAATCTTCTCTAGAAATGGTGGAACGCATTCTTCCACCTTTGTTATCTGCTGCCAACTTCCCCGTAGAACGATATTTGGAACATAGTCTTGATACGGTCTATTTTTTCACTCGATATTTATAAAATTAAATTTCTGTGGCATTCACTTACGTAGTCGCCAATAATTTTAGTTCCAATCCAAGACTGTTGGGAGCATTTTTGCACTTGAAGTCATAAAAATAATAAAAATAAATAATCACGCTTTTTAAGGCTTACCATGTTACGTTTACCTTGTGATGATACAATAATACTCTGTGGAACACAACGTCAAGGTTGGATGTAGACTGATTGATGCAATGAAACACTTGTTGTATTTTACTTCTTGTATTGATGTTCTTTGAAAAAACACTTTGATAAAACTCACTTCGATAAACTGTCTTGATAATACTGACTGATTGACTTCCATGTACTGACTGAATTACATGTGGGTTTAATGTGGAATTACATGTGTGAACCTGTTCTGATAGATTCTAGATGCTTCTTTTCGATGCTTTTGGATGCGTCTGGATACTTCTGAATGTTTCTGGATACTTCTGAATGCTTCTTTTGGAAACTTCTGGAAGCTTCTGTACTTCTGGAAACTTCTTTTAATTATTAAAAAACTTCCGTGACGTTGGTACGGACCAGACTTAAGAAAATGAAACAAACTAAAAAAGTTGCACTTGTTTTGTCCTCTGCAAAATGGCACTTGTCAACGAAATTCTGCCTGTGTGCTGTCACCTGCTAGCTGATTTCTCATGTCATGACATGCTATGGCTCCAGACTCCTGAGCTGTTTGCTGTGGTAGTATAGTTCGTTTCGTTTTTAAGACATGTAAAATTAGGAACACTTTTTAGCATTGTTCGATGTTGGTTGCAAATATTTTATCCAATACTGTATTTAGTTATTGTGTTCATTTTGGAATTGATTTTTGGCAAAGTTGTATTAAAAAAAATAAAAAATTTTCACTAATCTTTGTTCTTGCCTGTGATGAAAAATGAAGTGATATTCTATATTGTAGTGTGTTTTAACTTTATTTTAAATTTGTGACAATTATAAAATGGACGATGAAATTATTTTTTTTATTTCATAATATTCAATATTACTAAAGGTCAAAATAAGTGCTGTAAACTTAAAGTATTTGTTAATCGCGATTATTTGAATGATATGAAGTATTTTATTTATTTTTATAATATAATATTCAATTTGATGATATGAAATATTTTGTTTTGTTTTGTCTTGTTTAAATATTACAAGGATCATTACAAAATTTGTCTTTTTTAAATATTACAAGAATCATAACAATATTTAAATAAATATTTAAATATTGTAATGATTCTTGAAATAAATTATAATTGCAGCAATTATAATAAAGATATGATCGAGTAAAAAATTCATATTCAGTGGTAAAGGTGTTTGCAGCAATCGAAAGTCTTTTACGCGAGCAATTGCACGTTCTACGTAAGTAACTAACGAAAACACGGAAACCAATGACATTGAGGTTGTGAGGTTGTATCGGATGAGAGATTTCCGCCATGCCAGTTGTGATTGATGTTACAAATAGTGCAACTTTAAAAACTGTAACTGCAGATGAAAAAAGTGACAAAGAAAATAATTTAGGACAAATCAAACATTCTAGTAATCACGAAAAATCTGCTTCAGGAACAAAGAAAAAAAGAACTCCAGCTCTACACCTGTCAACTGTCGATATGGAGAATTAAATTACAGAGAAGAAGTTAAAACTTAAGGAAGAAGTTTTAAAGCTACAAGCTGAAAGAGATTATTTCATTTCTTAGTCGACTTGGAACAAAAAAATGCATCTATAAAGGAAGAAATACATTTAATAAAGGAAAGCTTATTAAAAAAACAGAACGAAGAATGTTTAATTTTTAAATAAATAAATTTCAATTTATTGTTGATTATTTTGAAACTATTTTTTATATAATAATATGAACATATGAAATAATTTTTTTTTTAATTTTTCTTTTGCTTAAGAATAAATATAATTCATTTTTCCAATTTTATGTCTATTTGTCTCTAATTCGGATTCTTTCCCAGTTTTTATGTTCTTACAATACTGATTAATTAATTTTATATTAAACTTGAAGATTAAAAAATGAAAACAAATAATAATTTTCAGAAAGTCATCGCAAATTAAAAAAAGCATGCTCTGTAAATATATTTATTTAATAAATGTAAACTTAAAGAGAAAAGTTGAAGTTGTTTAATAAAAAGAACCTAAGTTTCCAGATTTTTTCTGTCGAACAATTGCAAAAACTTTTACTAGTAATGGTTAATTGATCTCCATGTTGTTTCGCTTTTGAGATATTGTTTCGCATTTGAGATATTCAAATCAGCTCCGTTTACAAATTAATTTTTTTATCGAAAACAATAACAAATCATAACCAAACATTTTAAAATATTTCTTTTGTGCTTATAATTTTCTTATGAATACGGTTCTGCTCAAAATTTTATTTTTTCTGTTTCATTATCATTTAATGTTCCAACATCGATTAACATGGTTTCGCATCTGTTTCCAAAACTTCAATATATATATATATATATATATATATATATATATATATATATATATATATATATATATATGTATATACGCTGTATATATATATATGCATAATATATATATACATATATATACATATATTTATATATTAAACGTATATATATATATATATACATATATATGTATATATACGTATATATATATATATATACATACATATATATATATATTGGATACCATTTTTAACATTTTAGAAAATCTCTCCGTTTTCGGTTTTAACTGTAGGGGATAGCATAGTTAGATTTTACCGTTAACTATCTTCCGTTAACTTTATTTTAACTGAACGGGGGACACGAGAATACGAATTTATGTTAACTCTGGCGTTAAAACTGCCGTTAATTTTTAACCCAGCCGTTAGCTTAACGCAGGGTTTAACGGAGAGATGTGAATACGGCTGCGTGATACCAGGGCAGTTTAAAAAGTTAACTTACAGGTAAACTTCTGATTGCTTTTAAGAAATTGTGGTATTACTAATTTAACTTTCCTAGCAATAAAAAAGATCACTGATATTAAATCTTTTATCTGCCATTATAACATCTTCTTAATTTAATGCGTCGAGGTAACCTGATGTATTAATAATATATCGATCTGAAGATAAACCACTTTATGCTAGAGCATATAATTAATCATTCCGGAAGGTGCTATGCTGATAGCTTTTTTAAAGTGTTTCGATTTTTGTAACTTAAATATGTTTGAACTTGGCCTTTGGCAACACTTGGTCGCTCACATTAACATTCTGTGCAATCTAGTATTGAGACTGCATCATCTTTAAAAGACTTAAAACATTCTGGGTAACAAATTATAATTTGCCTCCGAGTAACTGGCTTAATAAAAATTTTAAATTTAATTGCTAAAAAAGGAATCCAGGTACTTAGGAAGCTTGCTTGAGTCTTTATGGCTACACCCCATTCGAATCTTTATTAAAGTCAAAGGAATGAGATCTTTACAATTCATTGTAATGGACCAAACATTTTCATGGTGATCGATTCGCTGTTTAGTGAGTTGTTTGAAGAAAGAAGAAACTTTATGTTGAAAGCGCTCGTATAACCAATCATATATTATATCTGTTTGTATACCAGTCATAGTTTTCAGTAATTTATAATTTTCACTTATATCAGAATAGGATAATCTTTGCGACTTTTTGATTTTTTATAAGCCAATGATTTCTTCATAAGGATTTTTTTTTGGCGAGTCTAGTTGATTTTAATTTCAAAAGTTTAAAATTTAATGTTACTTTCGGATGCAATAATTGGTTTACATCATAGTTATATTGATAATAATATATTTTTTAACTTCTATTTTAGGAACTATATTTCTTTTACATTTGCAAATGAGTAGAAGTGTTTTTTATAATATAAAAGTAGAATAATAAATTATTGTAAATCCAAAACAAAAGATGTTAAAAAATTTAAATAGTATATAACCTTTCTTTTCTCTGCCCCAAAGTTATAGGGTAATACTGCTATTTTGCTTAATTTTTTTCTTCTAATAATAAACTGGTTAAATAAAAGGTTAAGAATGAATTGAGAGATTTTAGTTCATAAGAAAGGTTGTTCCAAGTTTAAATGCTTTAATATTTATAGATTTATGCCCGTATTATGAGACAGGTGTTTATCACCTCGTTATCACCTTCGTTTCAATAGTATTTTAAACCTAATGACAGAAAATTGATGAGAGTGCAGAAGTGTTTTTAATAATGGGAGTGGTTTGTAGAAGTGTTATTGATATAGTTAGAACTGATATTGATGATGTTTATAATGTTTTTGAT